ATCAACTCAGCAGTAGATATACCCCAGCTCTCCATCCACTCATCGCCAGTTCGTTGTATCATCTACCGCGGTAGACTACGGCTCAGGCTAAATTAAGATTTTGAAAAACCTTTGATATTAATCTTTTGTGCTTGTTTTGGTGTTTGAGTCTCACCCTGTTTTTTCCTTTGCTTCAGTATCACCATTCACCCACCTGCCTTCCTGCTCAGCCATCTGCCTCAACCTGCTCTCTGGACTCAAAACTGCTCAGCCACACTCACACCCCTACTCTGGTCTGGTCAGCCTTCGTTCCCCTTCACTCTGCTAACCTCCAGAATCTTCAACCCATCTTCATCTCCATTTGCCACAATAAACCTCATTACCAATCAACCCTCTGTTTATGTGTCCTGCATCTGGGTCCTAAATTCACTGGTCGTAACACATTATCCTTTATACTATTATTTTTAATAGACGGCACAGGGGTTAAACATGATGAAACACAATGTTGAATTCCTATTGACACTCTTTACACATTTCCAGTCGTATTACTACCAGGAAGCCCAAAGTAGATCAGATTAGATTAGAAAACTTTATTGATCCCCAGTGGGGAAACTCATTTGTCACCTGGTCAATTCATACACACAACAAACAATACTGACAGTACATCACAGTACACAACAAGTAAATGAAAAACAAACACCACTGAAACCATTTGAATAATCATGTACAGCCATGAGTCAGAAACACAACTTAAAATATTCATTAAAATATTTAATCACAGGTTTACATGCCTTAATAACGTTGATTAAACTTGATCTCCATGTGGAAGGGAAAATACAAACAAAAACTCAGAAATGTGTTTAAAATTAGAATTAGATCAGAATTGATCATATAGTCACCCTACATAAACTCTTTCTCTGTGTCAGCTTATCCTAATCTATGTGTGAGGAAAATCTTTCTTTTTAGTTTCTGGGGAATCAGAGGTCAATGAAAGACGCCGAGCTGTAGTTTATGATTTCCTCAACATAAAACCTGTGTGGACACAGCTTGTCATTGGGTGGGATGACCTGTAAGTCCCCTCACAGCAAATCCACACACTGATGCAATAGCTTGCATCTTTAAGCTTCATAGTCTCTGTGTTAACCACAATGCATAACTTTGACAATATAAAAGAACTCTCAAACATCACTTGAATAAATAAGTCTAACTGAAACATCTCCCTCTGTGTGTGACTAAAGATGTCATTGTCACATAACATTTTGTGGAGTGTCTTTAGTTGCATATTGGCCATAGAAAGGCTGGATTCAGTTTCATGCTGTGCATCACGACATTATCTCTTCTTTCAGCTGCTTTCAGCCTTCTATTTAGCTATATGATGAATTAGGGGTATTTTGTGGTTAACAGTACTTAGCTAGCTTCTTGTGTTACAGTGAGGGGGCACACAGTGGAATCAATAGAAAAGGCTTTTAAGGAATTGGAGTCACAGAAACTAAGAGGGAAAATTGCTTCAAGCCTTCAGAGAACACTGCTGGTGTGATTAGGTAATTTACCCATCAAACTGGACACCCTGATATCCCCGAGGTGTCAAACATTTTACAGTTTACTAGAGTTTTTTTCTCCCTCTCTTTCTGCTTTGAAGTTCAGCTTGCTTTGTTTGTCAGTATGAGATGTTCCTGTTTCACTTAAATTCACTGTTGAGTGCCTGGGCAATTTAAGTTTTTAGGTTTTGTTAAATTCATCTTACTGACAGCAAGTTCAAGGATGCAGCTAAGCAGCACATGCATGGGATAAAAATGCAATGCAAATGTGTATGATTATTTCGGTATGTTAAAAAATGCAACTGCACTGGATTTTTAAGATCACAAGGCATGAATCGTTTTTTTTTTCCCACACATACATACATTTCAACTGAAAATCACAGAATTAAAACACAATACATGCAAAATTGCACATGTTCAGACAGACTGCATTTCTAAAGACTCCTTACTATTAAGGTGAGAACTTGTCAGTGTTTGAGAACTCAGAAGTGTTGAACCATGTAGGTCGTGGTCCAGATAAGCTTCTTCAGTATTCCTAAAACATTGAATATGCCTAAAACAGGGAATGTGTCTCATCTGTGCTAAATCGTCTTACTAATGAAAAAGGTGACACATTTTGCCATGTGGCTGTAGACAATCTTAATTTCATTTCAAACCTTTATTTAAGGCTTCATACAATGCAGATATTGTAACTAAATGCTATGGCAAAGCTTGATAAACTGAGGATGCAAAGAAAGAATCTTCAGTTACATTAAGCCAGCATAACCCAAATGTATTCGCTGTCTTGTGGAATTTATTTTGGGACTATGTGATCCTCTTGCAGAATTTATATTTCACTCATGTTGATTTCTAGAAAGTGCTATAGGCCTCTGTTAAAAACGGAATATATAATTTTCTGCTGAAGTATAGAATTCAGTAGAAGGCACAATTCTTATTAAGAACACGGAATCCTCTGTTAGAATACCAAATGTAGAATTTGTGCTTTTTCTGGTAAAGGAACTACTTCAGCATTCCAACAGAGAACATTCAAAAACAGGGTTCTATCATTTAAGTTCTAACGGAGGAATCTAAGATATTAGATGATACCCTTGGATTATGAAACAGGTTTCCAGAAGATTCCCTTCATCAGGAACCTCTGAGGTGGGTTTTTCTTGAACATGTTACCCCATGGGTTCAAGGTAGAGTCCGCTTTAAATGATTTATGGTGAAACCAAAAGGTGCTGCAAGGACCCAAAAAAGTTTCTGGGTAAAAAGCTGCAGAATATTGTATGGTTTCATTAGGCTCATTTAATGTTCAGTGTTTGAAGCTCTAGCTGTAAGCTCTGACTGAGTGTTTCACTTGTTTACCTGCTTTTTGTAAAGTGTCTCGAGATAACACTTGTTATGAGTTGACGCTATACAAATAAAAATTGATTGATTGATTGACTTGCTGTGAGGAACCAGTTACTTGCTCTTCGGTTGACTTCCCTTTATCTGCTCTGCTTTAACAACTGACAGAAAACTTGGAACTTTTAAGAACGTGTTTTTTTTGTCAACCAGCCAATATCAGAAAATAATAAAACATGCACTGATTAAAGAATATTAAACTTTGATAGTTGATTTAACAGAACTTAATTGTCAGACATGGTTTGAAATGTGTCTTGCATCACAGCGGCCCAATTTGCAAACATAAAAATTAAGACAAGACACCAAGTTACAAATATTTCACGAGACATTCAAACACCAAACAAATATTCAGAGGCCTTAACCGTGCTTTGATCTGGGATTCAGCTCCGCATTCAGTTTTACTATTGACTATAAAGAGATATGTGAGGAGACAGAACAGGCAACTATGCCGCTTGCAGTGTCAGTAGTCCAGTTAAATTGAAGCCTGAGAAACAGTGCCCTCTGCTGGCTTAAATGGGATTTCTGCAGTACAAAAAGTGGGATTGGAAAAGATTTAACATACAGATAAAGTTCAATAGGTTTTTGAGGGAAAAGCAATGGGATGGATTTTTTTTCACAACACCCATTTTTAAGCCTGGATTTGAATTTCCAGATAATGATGGAGCAAATGCCCCCTACAGTTCAGCTAAAGATTGGCTTATAGAGTATTTATTTCCGTTTCAATAGCGTAATAATAACAATTTCCATCTATACCTTTTTTTCTCTTTACTTTGGGAATTCGCATTGTTATTCCTCCCAAATTTATCAAAAAAATAACTCCAACTTTCGGACAACTTTTTTTCATTATTAAAAAAGTAAGTAAGTATTGGCACTAACCAGCACAAAGTGGGGGTATTTCCTTGTTTTTGATTCACAATGGCGAAAATCACAGACAAATGATATGAGGTGAATCATGGTAAGTTCTGATAAATAATTAAAAGTGATCATGACACTGCAATTGTGCATTCAATCATAGGGTTATCTGTTACACGCTCATGTCCTTATACACTATCAGTTCATCCAGAAAAGACCTATCAACATCTCCAAGCACTGCTTTGAAACACTCCTGCCTATAGAGTCCTAAGTGCCACCCATACATCTCCCTGCAGTGGGACAGCAGGCCGTGTCTGTCCTTGTTCCTGTCTGTGTGCACGCGCGCCTCGGCCTCAGTCAAGCATCTCAGGCTGGCGCCGCCGCCTCTCCACTTCCACAACATGAGGGATAAAGTTTCTGTTTGTTGTGGCCAGAGAACACTAATAACGCGCCAGGAAAACAATGTTGATGGTAAAGCTGTTCAACATCACCTAAGATCACTCAACCCCCGAGGACCTGCAGGCTGATTAAGTGGCTTTACTGGGCTGACCAGAAGCGCTGTTTGGGTATACAATGAATACATGAGCTGCTTTTTCATTGAGCTGCAGGTTCATGCACAGCCTCAATTAGCCTACTTGTAATCAAATGTAGCCTATACCGAAATAAGAGTAACCATAAGTATGGTTTGACATTCTTTTTTTATGATCCCATCTTTTTAAAATTCTTACTGGCAGTATGGCAGGTAATCAATGGAAAGTTTTTTTTTCTTGCTGTCTGATTTAAAGAAATGAAGTTCGAATGTTAAAAACATTGTGTCAGCTAAAGTAACGAACCAACACCTTTCCTGTCATATAACCAATAAAAGAATGCTGTTTTTTTTTTCAAGTTTCTAACTCCAAAAGCTTAACAATAACAAAAAAAACTAAAGAACTGAATATTTATTTTAAATTCTTACATTAGTCTAATTTCCTAATAACCTTCTTAATAAGACCCGCTCACTCAGAGATCAGGCTGTGTGTTAAGTGAGGTGTTTCTGTGTAAGATGAGAAGAAAAGGAGGCTGGCTGTTTGCCAGTGTCCTGCAGAGGGGTGACAGATATATCTCCACCTTGCTCTTTAGCTGGACTGCTGAATGGTTAAATCTTCTCAGGCCTCACACATTCAGAGCAGCAGAATGTCCCGGCCTGCAGCGTCATCTGGAGCACGAGCACAGCGCGTAAAAACGGATCCAATTATAAGTGTTGGGATGCATCCAAGCTCAACCACCACGACGCCTTTTTCAGTGAAGGACATTTTGAAGCTGGAGCATCAGCATGATTTTGAGAATGAATTCTTGACGTCTGATCAAGTTGTTCCGATGCAGTATCAGCACGTGCATTATGTTAGAAGCAGAGACATGTATGACCTGCAGGCTGATCCGTGCGTCTCTGAAGTGCAGGAGAAGCTCGAGACTCACAGCTCAGCAGCAGAGGACGAGATGAATGAACATGGTGAGATGATACACGTTAAAAAAATAGCATGTTGTGGGTAAATTCACTCAGATGTAGATCGTTAGGTATACCGTCCAACTCATGGTAGGGGCCTCGTGCGTGGGGCAGCAATAATATGGCACACCAAGTTCTGCCACATTTTACTTCAAAACAAACCAAAAACTATTTTCAAAGTTTCATGTTCGATCAAACCTTGTTCCACCACACACATTCCCTATGTTCTTTCATAAAGACAGTGACGTTTTACTATCAAGTTTTCTTATTTGGTCATTTTGCTTGATTCATAAAAACCTTTGGGTAATAGTGGACATTAAATGAGCATGTCTGCTATTTCTTTTCCATAGGTCGTTTTTTAAACTAAACTCTATTTTTGAACATTGTGACGGTGTGGCAAACGATCTTTAAACTATAATCCGTTTCAACTTTTGTTCTAAATAAGCCCTTATTCTCTTTTAAATGTCAAAAAAGTCTTCATCTTGGTCTTACATTTAGCCTACTTCTTCCAGCTCAGAAATGTATTCAATGGATCTTTTTTTTTTCGTTTGTATTTGTTTTTCACCAAACAAGTCAAATAAATGTATTGTAGGCCATGGTCGTTTGAAGGAAACGTTGAAACAAAAATGTATTAAGCCACAACACACCAAATGAATATTTCCAAGTTAAAGAATCATGTGGTCTCTGGAAATAAATAAAGTATAATTGAGAAGATTGACCTCAAACTCGATTAGTAGAATTTTAAGCGTCATTTTGTGAAAATAAATAAGTCATAGGCTAATATTGTCTGAAGTAAACTGTTAAGCCTATTTTGAAAGTGTATTTGTTGTTTATACATTTAAGGTTTTGTTAGGCCAAATCGTCTTTCACATTTGGACATCTGTAGTAATAATGTTGTTTCACGTTTTTGTTTTTTTTTCTGTTTTCTTCGATTCTTCTGATGCACAGAGATCAGCGGGGTTGGCAGTTCCCCTGACCGTAACAGTAACTCAAAGACCAGGTCCCGGCTGCGCAGGAAGCCCCGGGTCCTCTTCTCCCAGTCGCAGGTGTCAGAGCTGGAGCGTCGCTTCAGACAGCAGCGCTACCTGTCCGCCCCGGAGAGAGAGCACCTGGCCAACATCCTCAATCTCACCTCCACACAGGTCAAAATCTGGTTCCAGAACAGAAGGTATAAATGTAAGCGCCAGAGGCAGGATCAGTCCCTGGAGCTGGCGGGGTTTCCTCCCGCACCGAGGAGGGTGGCGGTGCCAGTGCTGGTGCGGGACGGGCAGCTGTGCGGAGCAGGTTCCGCTCCGTATAACGTGACTCTGGGACATTATAATCCCGTTTTTGGATATGGAAACAGTGGCGTGTACAGCTATCACAGCGTGTCTCCTGCCACACAGATAAGCAACAATAACCAGCTGGTTGATTTTACATGTAAGAGCGAGGGGCCTTTTAATCACGGACACTTCCAGGCTTCATGTGTCAGAGGCTGGTAATCATTTTATATCAGCAATCAAATATTTCAGTTACAAGTTTGTATTGTATATTTTGTATGGTAAGCCTATTTGTTGCAAGTTTTCAAAGTCAGTTGTTAAACACACTGCAGAGTAGAAAATCACACTTTCTTTATTTTATGTGCGATTATTCGAAAGCCTATTCGACCCTTTAAACTCTGCGAATCTAAACTAAAATATTCATTGGTTTCCTATTTTTATTTGTCAACATCATTTACCAGGGGAGGGGACTCTTTAAAGTAAACTGCTAATAGCAAAAGGAGGCGCAAAAGGTTGCAATATTGTAGCCTAATATAGATCTTTTACAACTGAAATACGCCTGTTAAAGATAAGGTTTTAAAAAAATCTGCAAAATTATATTATTTGCTTAAGGTGCAAGCGAAGTGTTAAAAGAAAAGAGAGGTTTACCATTTTATTTTAAGTGTCCAACTTTATCAAAGATCGATGTTTCAAATAGGCTGCATAGGTTACTATGTTAGCCTATTAATGTCTAAACTCTAACTAGTCATACTAGGCCTATATCAAATCCGCAAAACATGTCTTTCTACGTTGTTTAGGTGTGTCTTTTGAGGATCCAGTTAAAAGCAACATAATTGATTATTAACCCTTTTTAGGCCATTTAGGCCGAGTTAGAGCGGCGCTGTCGTGAGTTTATTATCAAAGGGATCCATCAGAAAGTTAATGGATGAAGTTGACATGTGACCGGACAGCCTGCCCTATCAAACTGATCTCATTATTGTCCCATTCACAAATCCGCTGATAAGGCAGAAGAGCTTGAGTCCTGTGCGGAGCTTTGCTTGGTAAACAAACCCGCAGACACAGTGGCTCTTTAACTCTTTCAGACTCTCGATCAAACTGGAAAAACTTCCACTCAGACCTGTCAATCAACAATCTCACACAGATAGGACTACTGACTTCACTTAAGTGCCAAAGAGTTACATTTCTACTTTGTTTCTTTCAGCCTATAGATTGGCACGTTGTACGGTACTAAAAATGAAATGTTAAAGGCTGTAGGTAGACTACTGTAAATGATAGGCTACATAAAAAAAAAACAGACGAATACAATATGCACGATATTTTAATCTTCCGTCAAGCAGGGATGTTTAAATGATTACAGAAACATCGCTTGAACATGTAATATACGCTATAGTCCAATGTTTACGTAATAAATAATTATTCTGCGCGCATATTGACAGTGTCACCTTTAATGGGCATGTGCACGAACCAAAGGGCCCGAGGAGAAGGAGAAACACCTCTGGGCGACAGGAGCTGAAGGAGCATCTCTGATAAGGAAGAAGCTGCAGACAGAGAGGAGACCAGAGACACTTCAAGAGATCAGATTATACATGCGTGTGCCTGTGCGTGTGCCTGTGCGTGTGCGTGTGTGTGTGCGCGCGTGGGTGTGTCGCATGCAGTTGAGTCTTATACAAATTCATGGTTATTCAAATCTGGTAAATTCCATCCTGATATCTCCAATGTATGAACAAATCTAACATAACCATTGACAAATGTAGTCTTAATTTTCAAGGATGAAAGAAAACTAGAAAATAGCCTGGAAATGTGTATTAAAGAATTACTAAGATTATTAAAACACAATAGGCCTACTTTGAATAATAAAATAATTTGAGATTCTGATGGGGCTAAATATAGTCAGAGAAAGGGATGTATCGCCCCTTGTGTGTGTGTGGGGGGGGGGGGGGGGTGGGGGGGGCGAGAAGGAGAGAGATGTGACAGAGGTATGAATGAGAGAAAAATCCCCATATGAAGACAGAAGGTCCTTGATAACAGCTCTGATGAGGGTCAGTTTAAAGGGGGGGGGGATGACGTCAGCCTGCTCATCAGTGAAAAAGCCATTTTAGTTTACTCAAGGAGGTTTTGAATCACTAGTGACCTCACCTTGAGGCAAAATGTAGGTCTATGTGTAATCAGTTTGTAATGCAACGAGTCTGAAAATGTGTTGTTTATGATCGGTGCTGAGATGATTCACAAGCTCAGGATCAGATAGGCCAACTCTCTGTACGACCATCAATGGAGCAGTTGTGAGAGAAATGATACAATTAAACTATAGGCCTATATAAAAGAAAATGATTGAAACTGTATAATCAGACCCTCTTCATACTAATCCGCTGGTAAAAGAGCTCACTGTGCGGCGTATCATGTGGTTTAAAGGCTGGAGAAGATCCAACAGCTGTTTGGTGATCACCTGAGGACTTGTCTGGCTCCAAAGCTCCCTCTCGTGGACGACTGGCGCACCACACCCACATCACGAAAAAGACAAAACAATATATAGGCGTTGACCTCAACTTTCTCAGCTACAGGCCTAGACAAGGCCCTAAACAGGTTACAAACACTTGAGAAGAACAACAAACACAAACACACATTTTGAACATGCTTAAAAAAAACACAATTCTTCACATGTTTCCTGCTAGAAGGGGCACAAATATGCTAATGATGTAGAACTACAGCTTTACAAACCTCTTTAGGGTAACTGAGCTAGTCAGATGTTTTGGTCACATTTGAGACGGAGAGGGGAGCAGTGCACACATGGACACACATGGACACCTTCAAACACTAATTTATTCGGCTCACCTGCGTTAATCACCCAGAAAACAGCACTGTCATTCTTCTGCTCCTCTCTGTTTCCTTAGCGCAACCAATGGTACCCATTAGGGAGATCTATTTTAAAATACACACATACACAACTTTAGTTTACAAAGTTTACCTTACTATAAGGGTATTGTCATGTCCCGCCTGGGTGTTTGGGTGGGGAGCAGAGCGCAACATTGCCAGAAACTAAATAGAATTTACGTTACGTAATGGCGTAAATATGCTATACGAGCAGGTTAGTACTAAATACAGGCAATACCATCTATCTGTGATAGGTATGCGACTTCCAAGGCTCAAAATGCTTCAATACGATAAGAACATGTCTTTTTAAATAGTTAGGTGTGTAATTAATTACACCAATAGGGAGGGGCTACAGATTAACATCAAATCAGGTCTGCATTGGGAGTCAGATGTCAGTGTCCATGATGGTTACATGAAATAAAGGACTTGTTAATGACATTGTTGGTAATTGTCTTTGTGCCATACTGAGGAAATGCTCTCTTTTTGACTATAGCATGCACATTTTATAGGCTATATTTTTCCTCTTTTATAGCCTACCGTTTTCTTCACTTTTGTAGGCCTATATTTTAGCATTTAAAAAATAAATTACACCAACATCTTTTCTAGGACTACACCTGGGTTTACCACTTTTTGGGAAGGTTTAAATAGAAGACTGAAGAACTGATATTTAATTGTGGGTCTACAATTGGTAAGATATTGCATCTATTTTATTTAGCCTATGATCTAGTAGGGCTACATTGAGCATGTCAGAAACCTTGGTGTTATTATAAAAAATAATATTACTGTTTTGCAGTAGCTCAGTCTGTAGGGACTTGGGTTGGGGACTAAAGGATCACTGGTTCAAGTCCCGTTGCAGACCCCAATGCAGAAGTTGTTCTGGTACGCGGAGAGGCGTGTGGGTACTTCCCGAGTACTGCTGAGGTGCCATTGAGTAAGGCATTGAACCCCTAACCGCTCTGGTGCACTCACTGCGTAGCTGTGTCTAACAGCCCCACTCTGGCATCTCTCCGCTGTCCACTGATCCTGTTTGTGCGTGTGTGAGAGAGTATGCCTTTAAAATAACTGAGTGGAAAACCAGAATTTCCCTCAGGGATTCATTAAGTATTTCAAAATCAAATATTCAAATTCTATACATTTTTTAATTTAGCATGTGCCCTTTTGATGTGTTTTGACACTGATGTGTTATTTCTATGTAATTATGTGAAACACAAAAAGTTTGCCTCTGTTTGAAATGTGCTCAACAAATATAATTGAATTCAAGGGGACATTTATTGACTGGCTAGATTAGGCTCAGTGTAAGGCTGAGAAATAAATCTGGATTAAAGATGACTAGCGTGGAAATGTTGAATGTTGGGAAAAGAAGATTCTGCGTTTGTGGGCAGCAATAGAGAAGGCCCTGTTCCCAAAACGCTTAGTCCTTGATCTCGGGACTGACAGAAATATTTGATCACTGCAGTCTATTTGTATCAAACAAAGAGCTTGTATCTTTTATTATATAATACTCCAAGTAAAATAAATCCAAATTAAATGGCTTAATTGTTTAAAACAGACATATCATGTGCTCTAAAGTACAAAAATCCATTCAATGCTCATATCCACTAAAAATAATCCAAAATAAGTTATGGTAACCAGATGTATTTGGTCCAAATGTCACAGTATAATCATATTCAAATGAATTTTAAAGTAAATGGACATTGAGTGAGAAAACTTTTTGTTTGGAAAAAGATTGTTTGCTGACACTCTTTAATTTTTCATTTGCCTCTATATGAAAATACAAGAATACAATACAGAACAAGGCTTAAATTGACCTTTTTTTTTTTCATTTTGTCTATGAGCCTCAAATTGATCTTTCCAATCCAATGACATATCTTTTTAGGTCACACAACACATAGTCACACACGGAAGAAAAGAACTTATGCAACATCCCAGGTGTAGGTTACAGTATAACGCAACACTGATGCTCAGCAGATAAAACTCCACGTTTACAACAAAGGTCTCCCCACTCGTCATCTCAGACAAAGAAAACAGCAGCAAAACAACAGAAGATTGATGGCAGAACATCATCCGGTGGCTCAAAGAAAACATCATCACTGCAGAGCGTGTAATGTGGAAGACAAATAACCCTTGCAGGGTAAAAGGTCAGAGGTTGTACTGTGTCACATCAGAAACAGAGCTATGCAGACACAAAACTGTGTGATGAATGCTCGGGACACAATAGATAGGAAACAAACCTTTGTGTTTTCAACTCAGAGCAATCATGAGGATTGTGTTAGGACAAGAGCGGAGTATGACAGCATGTGTAGAGCCTTTAAAAAGCATTCATAGTCAGTCACTCTCTCTGGTGGCTTTGTTTGTATGCCTGTACATAGACTGAGTGCACGCGTGTTCTCTATGAGTAATGCTTATGATGACATACGTCTGATTTAGCTTTGATTTGATACTGGAATGATCCAACATACTGCAGAATTTTTGTGTAATCAGAAAATTGTTTTAACCCTCTCATTTGTTTCCTTTATGAGTAATGATTATGAAGATATTTGTCTGGTTTAATGCACACTTCAAATATACCGCAGAATTTTTTGTGGAATCAGAAAATTACATAATTTTACGTTTTATTCTATATCCAGTGTGGCGTGAATCAAAAATGGGTTTTAAAAACAGACAGAAACACTTTGTGTAGACAGGATATAAGCTGTCTGTGTGTACAGTTTTACATTCTTTAGCAGACAGATGGTCTCAGACAAAAAGCTCAAGGTGAAACATATCATACTGTTGATCTTAATGCTGTGTTGACATGACAGCAGCTAATGTTAAAAAGGGGAAAACAGAAGATTACAAAACAGACAAAATGTCCCATCAGTTGTTGTGACTTCAATTTTTTATTCATGTTGCACATTAAGCATGAAGTATTACACAAATAAGGAGGCAGAGAGTTCCATTGTAACACTTGTGTGACACTAGTCACATTAAAGCAGTGATAATGCAGGCAGTCATCAACGGGACACAGTGGTTTTGACGACCGCTTGGTGTGTGGTTGGTGACAGGGAGACAGCATGTTCAGGGGGCACAGGAAGGCTCATGTTTATCATACCTACATTTCATGGATTTACAAATGGAGCACGAATTCCCACAGGAACACTATCAAGCCTCCTCCTCTGGAGTAAAAGTCTGTCTGAAACAAGGAGAACAACAAACCAACAGCCACTGAGCAATGACTGTGTCTGCTCTGGAGCCGGCCTAAATGTGTCCAACTCATTAGTGCCATGAGCGGGTATGACCACCCACTCTGACCCCCCACTTCCACAGACAGGATTGTCTCCTGAGATGCAAACTACAGCATGCCTACACTGAGTTGAAGAGGGGCATATAAAGCACAAGGAGAACAATCATTGAAATGCTATCAGATGAAGTTCTGTTGATTAGCAATCATACATGTACACTCCAATATGAAATGTGCCTGGACTTCAAATGAGCCTGGAGCTTGATTTGAGAAGTGTTGTATCTGTTTGCATTTTCTCTTGACTTTGCAACATATAACAATTAATAAGACTAAAGTACAAAAACATCTTTATGAATACTAAATCTATGTTCTTACCTTTTGCATTATTTAAGTTAATTAAGTCTTTAAGTTGTAAAAGTAAATCTAACAACATTCAAGATATTGGATAATATACTTATTATTTATTGAATTCTTATAATCTTTCATTACCAAATAAGTAGTTAAGTATTATTAATAAGTATTTTCCAGTATTATCTTATTTATGTAAAGGAAATCTGTCATTGTATTGCAATACAATTTGTGTACTTATACTATAGTCTTTGTTGATATAACATTCAATATTGGCAGAAACTACAGCTCCCTTGCCACAAATAACATGAATGAATGCCTCTCTTAAGTAGTCTTAACAAAAACTGAACATCATGAGCATCATGAAGGGTTATTTTCATATGAAAAGGTGCAGTATTCATGTATGAAGATATACATTATATATACATACACAGATAACGCTTTTTTTCATGTTCATGATTTAAAAATAAATATTAAACCTGGGACAAATGACTTTTTTATCATGAATTTTTGTTGTTTTAAAATAGAAAGCTAAATTGAGCTGAAGACTAAACCAGTTTGAAGTGACTGAAAGTAAAAGTTGTCAGAACAGGCCCCGCCTCCTCCAACATGTCGGCACAGTCTTGGTGAACCCGCCCCTGCTCTTCTATAAATTCAGACAGCGAGAGTGTGAAAGGTGACACACTGCTTCAGTCTCTGTCACTGAGAGACCTCTCTGATTTGTGGATTACTGGATGGAAAATGTCAGACACAGTCAAACCTTTGACTTCCTTCTTCATAGAGGACATCCTCTCCACTAAGGACAGCACCAGATTCAACAGGGAAAGCTGCTCACAGAAGGCGGAAAGATGGAAAGAAGAACCAGAAATGTTGTCAGAGCAGATCTGCATGCAGGAGGAAGCGTGTGCAAGGCAGACAGGTGAGCTCATAAACTCAAATAAAATAACCAAATAAACTCTGACCTTAATTTGCAGAATAATGCTTTAGAAACAGGTTAAACTTTGTGGCACACATTATCATTCTGTTTGTACCATATGTATTAGAAAAGTAAAGGATCAATGAGAAAGTTCATATTGTGGCCTTTTTTTTTTAACCACCACTGTCTCACCGGTTGTGATACGACCTCACCTGAAATACTGTACTGAATGTTGTACAATGGTCTTTACCGGCTCACTTCTATACTTCACAGAGTCTCTGGACACCTCCTGTCCCAGCTCCTCAGACTCCAGTATCTACTCCTCTGGGAAACAGAAGCGCTCCAGAGCTGCGTTCACACACATCCAAGTGCTGGAACTGGAGAAGAAGTTTAACCATCAGAAATACCTGTCTGCCCCAGAGAGGGCTCACCTGGCCAGCACCTTAAGACTGACAGAGACTCAGGTGAAAATCTGGTTTCAGAACCGCAGGTACAAGACAAAACGAAAGCAGCAAAACTCTGAGTTCTGTAAGGACATTTACAAAGCAGAGGGACTGAACCTGAGGGAAGATTTGATCCGATCATCACTGATCACCTCATTCTGCAAAGCTTATCAATACAGACCTTACCTGTGGGACTATGGTGGCCCCTGGGGGCCAACATTATGGTGAAACTGTAATCAAGGTTTATAATCATAAAACTGTGTTGTTTTTTTTATCCCTGATATGGGTTCTATGTTGATTTTCAATGTTGATACTTTGCTATTTGACATGATTATGAAACCATGTGTTACCCTGACCTGTCTGCTATCTGTATCATGATTCTGTTTATGAACACATCCTATAACTTTGAATGCCTTAAGAAACAAAATGTTGTACAAAACAAACATTGTGGTAAAGGACATGTGTGGGTTTGCACACATAAATATTTGCTCACTGAAGTCAGTTGAAGTATTTTGCATTAATTCACAATCAAAACAGTGTTTATATCTTTTTACAAATCTGCGTTGGAAAATATAAAGTTTGACATAACTTTAAGTTCAACTTTAGTCTATTTGTCACATATCAGATCATATTTTTTTTGTTGTGAAGACTGGAGACCGAAAAAATAAATAAAAAAATGAAGTAGGAAAAAATATCTAATTCAAATTTAAGTACCGTTTTACCGGATTAAGAGCACTCTATCTAAGTAACAAGTAGTTACCAAGGGGGACTTGGGTATGTAAAACACAAAATAATTTAAACAAACACTCTTAAACTGCTTCAATATTTTTTGTCGACATTGATGCTATCTGAGTGGAGCTAAACTCTGATAATACAGCAAAGCTACATGAAAACATAAGAGGAGACAGAGATGTGGGTGATATTTGCAATGAGGGCCAAAGAATGAGATCTGATTTCTTTAAAGAGTCTTTGACCTGATTACAAAAAGATAAACGGCTCTTCAGCTTTCAGGCGTTGACATCACGAGGACAGCTGCGCACTGAAGACATTTAAGGAGATTTACTCTTACATTGACTCATTGTGGTAATGTAACAAATAAGATAAACAGACGCTGAAGGGAAGGATAGTTGACATGTTTTAGGCCAAGAAGAATGGGAAGAAGTAGTAAAAGATAATGAAAGAAGAAACCACCCCATTGTAAGAAAACTCTGACTGAGGCCACAACTACTCATAAAATGAATCTCAGAAGAAACAGTATGAATACATATTCTCAGGAAGGGTCCAATTTATTGGGTGACTACCACTATGGGCATCATGTCAGGATGCATGAGTCCAGCCAGGAAACTTCTGTTAAGGTTTTACTAGAGTGAAAGAGTGCAACCAACAACCAATCAGGCGAGAGGAGAGGAGAAACCAGGAAGTGAACTAAAGGAACTGAGGTAGGTGAAGAAGGGAAGCGATAACAAAGTAGTGATCTTTGCTACACAGATTTTTGTTTATCGCTTTTATCTGCATGGTGTTGGCATTTAACCTTTAGCTCAAAAGGTATCCTTCAACAACGTGCAGGTGTCTGTCAGTATGGGGCAGGTTATGTCCTTTGCAAATGTAGATATTAATGGAATGCTCTTTGTTCTCTTTGAGTGTACAGATATTATCCATGCTTAATGTAGGATGTCATGTTCTTTTGGTATGTGCAACCTGTACAGTAAGTATGTTAACCTCCATGTCTCCACGTCAGCAGGCTGAACCTTCTGGTTGATTCTGTCTGTGCTGTATTCTTATTCAAATTGAAAGCTCGATGTCTTGCTGACATGAATAAAATTTGTCACAACAAAAATCCCATTTGTCTTGGTAATAATACAGTAGAAAGTAATTAAAAGATGAAATCCAGCACATTTATTTGTATGCTGCTGCTAAGGTGCAGGTAAAAGCCTTTGTTTTCTGCACAATGAGCATCAGCATGTAAGAAAAAACAGGTATAGCAAGGTCAAAGCTTTGCCATTTCAGAATTTCAGAATTGAAAAGAGAAAGAGGAGAGGAACACAATTTCACAAGTGTGCCTCTTTGGATAAGCGGGTGAAATATATGCCTATGATTTTAATATTTCCAAAAATTACAAAAAAGGAGAATACTTATCGTTTGTCATTAATAAGCTGCCCAGGAAAAAAATAAGGTTAGGTCACTTAAATAGCCTGATTTTCCAGGAATCAGATACTCGCTTGGAGCAACATTTAACTATTTATATTAATAGCTTCATGCAGGTTGTCATGCCGGGCTTACCTAGTACAGTGCTGATAAGATTCCATGCGGGATTAAGGGTTTAACATATTTAAGAAGTTTGTAGTAACATTACCAAAGTGTGAGCAGAGGACTGATTGAGGTGATAGACAGAGACTTAAGAGCTCTTGCGACACTAATCTGTCTGACTTTGTGATGTAGAACAGGAATTTTTCTTTTACCTATATGGCAAACTGTATCAAAACTATTGAAATCGTATTCTCGTCTATTTCTGAGCTTTATTTATTAATTTCCCAGAAATATTAATGTAAAAAAGTTTTCATGTTTCTGGATATTCAAATGAGTGGAAAACAAACCATCCTGTACAAAGGATCAGTTTGGAAATATAACTTTTTTAAAGACAAAGAGAAAGTTACACATAGGACCTACAGTAAAAAAAAATTTTTAAAAAAAAAGGACATGAAATCGGAAACTTGAATCTTGGTGATTTCCTCAAACTAAAGTGAGTCCTTATCAGCATCCCCATTCACTCTGAGCCATTCAGTAAACAGGTAATTAGACATGAAGAGGGCAGATAGCATCTGTTTTGACGGCAGGAGAATTTGACAGTATCTTACAGTGTCTCTCAGAGTCTCAGGCCGTATACTAGCTCTGTCATCAGATAAAGGAGCTTGTTTAAAGGTGAAGCATGAAGGTTAGAAGAGCTACTATTTTTTGCACTTGCCTTTGTAAGACCTGTGCGTCGAGACACGGTACATTGATTCACAAACACAGAAGGCTTAAAGACAACATCCTTCTTTTCTGTTCCTTCTGTTTGGCTCTGGGAGTGCCTCTAATCTGTCTCTGCAGCACCTGGATTAACTGGATTTGGAGAGTAGAAGATAAAAAGCAGAGAGAAGGAGTTTATTACATCTGTTCCTCTTTACTTGGATCATAGATTTTACCAGAACATGGCTACATAAAGCTATTCTGATACATAAATGCCAAGATAAACCAGGTTAAGCTGCCAGAGTGGATCTGCCTTGTCTATATATTTAGGGATCTGATTGTGCGATGCAGTGAACATTGTGGTTTGTCATGCTCTTCAAGGTGGCCAATGATGCTTTGAAAAACAAGCAGATCTTCCAAACAGATGAGGAGAAAATCAAACCCTGACCACAAAGGGAGTCTTTGTCGGTACTCCAATATGCCGTGACTGTCTGACAGACTTGTTGGGAGTTGATAAGGAGGTTTAAAACAACCTTGATGTCCTTTTTTCACATGGGAACAGTCATAAACTTGCTTGGATAGTGTAACTGGATCCCTCATGTACCAAAAGATGGCTTTTTTTTTTCTCTCAGACACACTGATGCGCCCATCCATCTGGATAACAGTCATTGTGTGGCTGCAACGGTGTATGTGAGAGAGAGAGAGATAGAGATAGAGAGAGAGGGGGGGGGGGGGGAAGAAGTGTAGTTTTTCTTATGTGATAAAGATATAAAGTAGTGGGACAGTTTACTGCAGATTGAAATGATAAGACAGGGACAGATAGAGGACAGGGGTTCATTGTGCGCTTCAGATAAACAACCTGCTCATGGACAACCAAACACATGAGGGACAACAACGTTACTGCACAAGTGTACGTGTCCTGAAGCATGTTGGTTTGCAATAAAGGCTGTATCACAATATCTTGCGGTTCTGTCATTACATGCTGTATTGTGTGCAGGATACTCATTTGACATGCAGAATTGACCTTCATATAAACAACAGAAGAGATAGGAGGCAGGAAAAAAACGTGATGGATGCTGGATGGAGAACTGTAAACAATATGAGGGCATACAAATAGTGGATTGTGTTTATATCTAACCCTAAAATGCAAAGTCTACGTCAGGTTCACATGTTGTGTGACCATTCACAGTTAGTTTTTTTTTGTATTTATCCCATTTTTAGATGATCACAGGCTAGGTGTGTTCACACTCTCATCTTTACCTTAGTAGGAACATCTGGAAAAAACTTTGTCATATGAGATATGAGATTTGTGTGTGTTTGGAGACAAAGAGGATGAGAAGAATGGTCTTTGCAATGAAATGCTTAGAGACAGAGATGAAGCTTTTTAATCACTTTTTAGGTTTTTTCTGTCATTGCACAAAAATTGTGTTGTGAAAACAAACTCAATAAAATGAAATGAATAATTGATGAAATGTAGAGAGGTGAATTATAAAGGATCTATATTTATAAAGTCAATGTTCTTAAAGGTCACATATAATGCAAAATACACTTTACTATGGTTTTCAAACACTAATATGTGTCTCATGCCTGTCTACAAAGCTCCAGAATAATGAAAAAAGTCCATCTTCTCCATCTTTTGCCTGCTCCACTTTTCAGAAAATGTATGCTCAAACAGGCCAGATTTTCCCTTTATGACATCACAAAGGGCAATAACCCCTCCCTCAGGTGGGTGACACTCTACAGCTAGGTGTTTGTTCTGCCCTCTGAGTCTAAGCCCGCCTTTTCACCGTAAGCAATTGGGCGTGGTGAAAGAAAGCCCTTAAGCCCTTCCAGAGAGGGGCGTGGTCAAACACGCTCTTTGCATTTAAAGCTACAGACACAGAAACAGCCTGTTCTGAGCAGGGCTGAAATAGAGGGGTTTATAGGCATGATCAAAGGATCCTTGATAATGCAATTGGGGGTCAGTTTATGCTTGCATTATACACCTCAATAGGACCCAAACAGACCTTGCTGTTCCCACACCAGCCTCTGACCCGGAAGACTATCAGCATAAATGTGTACTGGGACAAGGATAGTAGCCCAATTAAATGGCTTATTCGAGCTATAACCTGAGCTCGACTTGACTGTGCGTGGAAACATACTGATTGGTTTAATGCTATTTAAACAATCTTCGGTAACTTGTACAGCATTTATATCTTAAGCAGTCTACAAACAATTCAAGTTTCTTAAAAGTGCCTCTTTAGGTTGTGTAATCTTAATAATAAAAAGCTTTATGATGCTGTTATTAACGGTCATCTATTCACATTAACCATATTTATTATATATGTTATTAACATATAATAAGCCTTTAATGAAGACTTATAAGGACCTTATAAAGAACATGCATTTCAGGGCCCTTAAGATAAAGTGGTGGTGTAGTTAATATTGTGTTATGTGCAGAGATACTGCACGTGAAAAACTTGAGATGGATTTTATGAGAGATAAGCAGAAGACCTGCTACTCAGAACCATGATAGATTATTTTTTCCAATTTTTCTGTAAGAAAGGTGTTGGCAAAGGGATTTAAAATGAAAGTTCAAGGTGGTTGGTAACTCCTCATACTGTGCATTGGCTAAAATAAGAGCTGAGGGGTAAACAGTGTCAACCCATGTCCTTCAAATTATACTATACTGCCCTCTACTGGAACTAAAGAACACCTGCAGGATGAAAGTTTTAAAGGCTTTATTTGCTCTCTTCCTTCAACTGGTTTAAGATATGAAGATAGTTTTAGTTTAGAGACATTGATCTTTCTAAAGTCTACCTCACGATTTATGTTTTTGGTACTCACAGAACTTTAAGACATAAAAATAAATTCAATGCAAACAATTTTCGTCATTCTAATATTTTTACATTGATCCCAACTGTCATTTAATTGTTATTACACTAATACACTACTGGAATAATTCAATGTAACTCAGTCTGTTAAATATTTGGACTAATTTCTCATTTGGCAGGGAAACATTTACTGTAGACATTTTCAGATTAAAGCTTCATTGACTGAAACTCTTGGTGAATGTATTTAATGCTACAAGTATAAAAAATAAATTTATATCATAAAGATAAGGACAGGAAATAGGTGTACACAAGCATATATTGATTTAGATCAGAATAAAAGCACACATAAAACAAAGAGTACCTCACTTGCATGTTTATTTCGGCTCCAGTGTTACAAACTGTAGCAGCATTATTACAATCATTTCATATTTGCATGGTCAAACTTCCAAGCATTCCTGTTGTGGAGATGGCACTCTGCCAACAATCATACCAACTTCCACCTCAATCACTTGTGCGTACATAGCATTCAAATATTTACATCATGGATAACCCCACATATAGAATAATAGAAGCTCTTCTGTCTCCTTCAAAATGTCAGAATCTATTAGAAACACAACTATGACACGGTGAAGCACTTGGATACAGACACAGTTTGGGAATTTCAATTCACTATGCTAGATGAACACCTCGTCAGAGTAATGGAGATGGGACAGCAGAGTGATTGAAAGCATAACGCTATGATTCTAAAAAAAAAACTCTGACCTTTTCTTTGTGGTTTCAGAATCTTAGAGGTGGATTTTTGCTAATGATCCAAACACAATGAAGGCAACAGACTAACCTGACTTTGATTAGATTCAGATAGATATTAAAAACAATTGTCTATGGGAATCAGGCCGTTTTTCCATAAACACACTTTTAAAACACCTCAACTATTCTTGGGATTCAATTAATTTAAATAGTCTGAACACATTGATCAGTACATTTTAATCTGGCTACATCATTTGAAATTAAATGCACCTAGTGTTATTTCTAGTCATATCGGCTTCCAATATTGCCACAGATGCAGTATCCAGAAGATCCAATACCATAACCAATTAGCTTCAAAGGAATCCCCCGTTTTCAGGTAAATGATCAATAACAAATGAAAACAATGCAGCGCTGGCAGAATGTGTGATGTTAGTCGAAACTATCAACATACCAGAAGTCAGTGTTTTTCCAACAGTGCTATTGATATTTTCTTGTAATCACACATGAACTGGAGGGATACTCTGTCATACTAAAGTCAGGATGTGCTGTCAAAACCTCATGTAGTAATAAAGTTCGTTTTGGGAGAACAGTGAGGGAGCAGAGACTTTGCAGACACCATCCAGAACCATATTCAAGATGCAGAACAGATAAGTGAATTTAAAAAGCGCACACATCGGGGTAAAATGTGGAATGACAGCTTAAAGCGGTTAGCAAGCAACAAGCATCATACAAGCAGGTTAAATGGTAGTGATGGTAGTAATGATGCATGTCTTTGGTATATTAACAACTACTCTTCAGTGTAGGCTTACTGACTCTGTTTCTAAACGGTTTGAGAGAGGGATGGAATCTGATGAACTCTTAACTTTACCAAAGGAAATTAAAAAAAAAAACCTCCAAAATTAAAAGCAAATAAATGTGGCTGCTTGTTAGATTACATCAATAACTGGAGGAATGTCTTGATTACTGAATGGAAAATAGGAAAGAGGCTGCAGAGAGCAGATCACACAGGAAATATGGAACAAAAAAAAAAAAAAGAAAAAGCAAAGCCTGCTTACAAGATGATTTAATCTTGTGGAAAAAAAGACATGCATGATTCCACATATTTGATCACAGAAAGTCTGTACTCATACAATTATACTCTGAAAATATCTTCTATACAATCTTTGACTTTCAGGTCACAATATGACAGGCCAGTCTAAAGCTAAGACATGGCCGTTATCTCAAGTAACAGTAAACAGTCCACATTTGGACCTGCATCATGAAGTCTTATAAAATAGATATTCTTCTTTTTCAATACATGAACAAGCTGCCCACCTTCTGTGACAGGTATGATTCTTTAAATAAGAATATTGTTGTGCGTGATTCAGAAGCATGGTAGTGCTGTGTTTCACAAGGTAAATAATTATGCCTCTAGCGCCAACACGTCTTGATACTAGACGTGACATCGTAAGAGGAAAAAAACATAATACTTTCTACTTAAAGCAACAAAAAAAGAAGTATAAAAAGCAGTGTTTAATATTTACGAGGCACTTGGAAAAAGCAACTGTTCCAGTAGCCGTGGAGTGAATGAACGGAATGTGTTGTGATGATTTTTCTTATAAATACTCAAGAAATAAAACAAACAAACAGCACTGTGGGTCTTTCGCATCCATAAAATGCAAGCCTCGCAAAAGCTAAGAAAATAAATAAAAAAGTTCCAATATTAAGAACTATACACATCATTCAAGACCACTTAATTGGGCCGAAAAACAGAAGACAGAGAGTTGATGTGTTTGTGGAGTGAAGAAGGAGGAAAAATATGACCATTTAATCCTTCTACGTGTAACTGTCATTTTAGGAATAGTAGTATCTGTTGCATTCCCTGTGTGCAAATTCATCTTAACACACAGTCTTAAGTAGGAGAACAATAAGGAGTGCCATTGTCTGCTGATCTCCACCATGACAACTTCCTTGTTAGACATGGTCACTTCCTCTTCAGGTCTACTCTAGGTGTGGTTTTCTCCAGCACACGTTCCATTACATCCGTCTAGGTCCTGCTTCTGATTCCAGTTGCTGTTTTGTCATGAAGTACTTGAAGAACTCGTACACAGACCAGGCGATGGCAGTGGATGGCATCTGGTAAATAATCCGAGCTTGAACCCCTTTAAAGAAGGCAGAAAGACCGCCAAGGCGGTACACAGTCCTGAAGGCGTTGACCATTCCTGATAAGTGTCCGCTGATGTTCACGGAGCTGAGCGCTACATTTTCCTGTGTGTTGAGCAGAGTTTTACAAACGTCAAGGGGAGTGGTTACTGCTGCCGAAATGGCGCCCGCGGCGGCTCCTGACACAATGTGGCTGCCAGGATGGTACTGTCTGTGTGGGTTAAGCTGTTCCTGCATCAGCTCATAGGTGATGAAGTGAACAGCCTGGAAAGGGATGTTCATGGTCAGCTGCGTGCTGTAGCTGCGATAGAAAGCTCCAACACCTTCAGTGCGGGTTACAGTTCGAATGCAGTCCATAAGTCCTCGATATGGAGAGTTGTACATCTGCATCCTCTGCTTTATCACTGAGGGTGGAAAAAAGATTTGTGTATTTATGCTTATCGCGTACATTCGACATGCACTGTTCAGCTGTTAAATCTAGTCACAGATCCAAGTGTGTGTGAATTGGGGAGTTGGAAAAACAGGACCCAAGTGTGACATTTTGATGACATTGTAGGTTTGCAACCCACCAGCAATTAAAAACTAATTCAAAGACAAAGAAGGTACCAGCTGATCTACAGCCTATTATTGTGAATATGGCTATAACAGTGATGTTAAAGGGATAGATTGAAATTATTTATGTCAAGAAAGCAATAATACAGCTGGACAAGCATGTTATATGTCAAAATAGGCACCTATGGTCTGAAATGACAGTGTAAAGTGGAATCTCTGATTTAAAACAGCAGTCTCATTTGTAAAGCTCCTATGTGGAACTTCTAGTTTGTGTCTATGTTGATGTCCCCCTTTGAACAAAGTGGTACCCCTTACTCTCTATCCACATAAAGGCATAAAAACCCCAACATAAATCTTTAAAAGATCATTTAGAGAATAACATCAACTTCATTCTGTTTAGTGCAAGGAAAACCTGTCCGTGTTTTCTTTTGTTTTACCTTCAGCTGGGTTCATGATGGCATCATGGAGAACAGTTGCCACACTACCTGCCACACCTGTTAAAACATGAAAAGAACTGGTCAGGTCTAAATATAATTCACTGTGTTAAAAGGAATTCAAATATCATATTAATCTGCCATACTTTAGATAAGGTCAGGTTGAATTAGCAGTTTCTTTCCTGGTAATTAAATGCCATAAAACCCTTGTGTTTGTATCTTCACATCCCAGATAGATGTTTGGAAAATGGCGTTGTTTGCCATTGTAAACAGGATATGACATTCAAAATACTTATCCAAACTACACTCCTCGGGGTCATGGTTCTTGGCTAAGTTTAAAAGCAGCTACTGTGACGACAAAGTGATGTGTGCTGAGACACGGGAACCTTTTACCATTGGCTAAATGACTGTTGCCTCCGTTCTGAATGATGTCACTCAGTGAGCGTTTGACCCGTTCATAGCACGCAAAGTAAAGAGCGTGAGCCGGTCCTGCTCCCATCATGGTGATGTTGAGTCCCCTGAGTGGCCTGAAGACCCCCTCTGTGTGGATGATCCTTTTCAGAGCCTCATACACGCCCCTGTACTGTGCATTTGGGTCCGGCTGCAGGCTCTGCATCCTTGTCTGAAAAACAAAACAAATATGTGTATTAAGATTTGTTTGTTATTTGTTCCAGTATGGTTGGATGTGATAACAGTTGGAGAACCCTGACACGTGACTCTCAGCGGCTCTAAAGTGGGCACCTGGTATCATCAGTTTTTCTGAATGTATTGTTCTCCGTCACATTGTTCTGACAGTAAGTGTTATTGGCAGCTGCGAGGTCCTGACTGAGTAATGCATGTCTCTCTCGTAGCTGGTGTGCGAGCCTGTGGCAGCTCTTTGTTTAACTCCACCATGCCAAGTTATCCACACACCACAAAGCATGTTTTTATTTGTGAAGAGATCTGGGGCTGCTTCAGGAGATAGGCCCAGTCTATCTTCCTCAGCATGTTCCCATGTGTTTCCTTCCTTTGGCTTAACAATAAAATATCGGTTACATTTCCGTTTGGTACAAATTTGGGAGCTTGGGGCACACAGAATTTAAGTTTTTGTGGCTGAATTTATTCACTGCAAGTCACATTGTTCAAAGTACGTTTCTGGAAAATACCAGATGGTTAAGTTGTAGTTAATGGTAAACATCTAAAACTAAAGTTAAAGGACATATTGTGGTTACTGATTTTAAACAGCACACACTGCTATTGGTTCAATAACGGGCTTAAAAGGCCAGAGTGAATGTTTGACACTTATCAGTACATGAAGCTTTATTTTTGGCCTCTCTACAAAACTGACGAGGTGTTTCCTGCATTGATTCTGAACTTCAGAAAACAATCAAACGTTTGTTTTAAAAGACGTCAGATACCTTTTTAATTTGTGTCATTTATATCTCTTAACACTGACATTGCTTTTGTCCTAATAATTATTTTATGTTGGTCAAGTAAAATTGTAAAATAAAGGGGGATCCCACATGTAAACTGCTGTGACGTGTGATATGCAACTGATATTTGCGTATGTCCAGTTATAGAACTAAATTGAAAAAAAATAAAAATATGACATTAAAACGTTGAAAAACTGTAAATGCGAAGCTGACAATATTATGTCGGAAAGCACTTGAAATGTTGTTGTGAACTATCCTGAAAGAAGATAGAGCTCTTAGGAGGGAAGAAGAAACATAGTGCCAAACTATGACAAGATGTTTAAGGACAAAGTACAACAGGCCATCATGTCTAATCATCTTTTGTTTCCTAACAGAACGTGCTGTGTTAGTTTAAGATCCACAAACACAGAATCTAACATGAGAGTTTTTTTGTAACATCGAGGTTCCACCGGTGGCAACAAATCCAGTAAAGCAACGATATCTACTCCATTACAAAGTGTCATGTCTTTTGTAATCATGTGAAGCATCTCAGTTCAGCAGCTGTGTCAGTTCACTAATCAACACAGCGAAAGAACAACTGCAGAAACACACCCGTAACTGTGCGAGGCTGATTCCAAACGTGTGCAACAGCGATAAGATTCCCCACCTAACGTCGGGCTCCTCCCTGACTTATAACTGTGTGTCGTTTTGTTAGTCGAAAAATGCAGTTAACCAACAGATTGTAAAACTTCTTCTTTTTCTTGGTAAGACACGTAAAAAAAAAAAGGCTCAAGAAAAAAAAAGGGTAACGCAAAAATATAAATATTTGCGTTTCATCTTTTCAATACAGTCCCAAAACACACAGCTGTGGCAACAAATCTCTTTAAAATTTACAATAACTGGAAAAAATGCTCTGGATTCTGTTGCTTGTTTGACTTTGTGTACACTGAAACTCTTAAAAACAGTTCAAACGCCCGACATTTCAAAACTAGTTCTTTGTCATGTCCAGACACGAACGGATGAGGAGGAAATGGCAACAGTGCTTTGTGTAATAAAGGCACATAAGATCTTTGTTTTTTTTTCTTTGCAGTGTGAAATAGAGTTGTCAGTGCCACATTAAGCTTATTGTAAATTTGGAGGGGTAAGCCAAATTCACCAAACAGCATGACATTGTGAGGAAACAATAGCAGAGCAGAAGAGGAGGATTGAAGGGGCAAAGTTCACAACCACACCAACAGTTTGTAATTTACTCTGCATCTAAAGTATAACTAGAAGAAGCTTGAAGACGTGCCAATAATTCAATTTAGTTATTTGCCAGACAGCAGTCATACGACATGCTGCAGTCAGGTGAGGCTTCTCTGTGTTTGAACTCATGTGATCCCCACTCAGTGTTTGTATTACAAAGACTGGTCCACCAATTGAGACTTAATATGACTGTTTGAATGACATTAAACCACATGACGTTATGCAGAACGCTTACAAATCTATGTGAGCATGGGTCTATTTTTGCAACTCGATGTGCCGATCTCTTTTAAAAGGGGAAGTTTTAGTCGCCACATCAGAACTGATATTTTTTTTCCACGCGTCCAAGTTCAAACATTTTTCTCGGGATTTGTGAATTTAACAAGCTTTAGGGCGATTACTTTTTGTTTACTATTGTACCACCTTCAGGACATTAAGGAACCAGGTAATATAAGAGAAAGAAGGTGTTCCTCATTAACAAATTGAACTGTGATGTCAATTTTTTATTTTATTTTATTTTTTTACTGTTGGCTGTTACCTACTTTGAGCGACAATTACACAGTTTAAATAAATCTAATTAATACAACAAGTCTTCATATGAGCTAATAAAAGAGACAAATTTGAAACAAACACACACAGATACTTGTGCCCTAAAGTGTCTTGTAACCGTGGCTGGTTAAAGTCATACTTATCAATAGAAATTACCTGACCAAGATAAATTAACTATTATGAATTTAATGAATTTAATGAATTTAATGAAAAAACGAGAGGTGTCAGGAATGTTGAACAACATTATTGTGTTCCTTTCTGAGTGTTGTAATGTTGTGATACTATGTATTGAAATGGATGGAAAAGCACTATGACATAATTTACACTTTACTTGACCTTCACTTACCCTACGTCAGTCTAAATAACTCATTTTGTCTCCTTGTAATGAAGGGGCAAAGACGCTGTGACTGACGGGGGGGGGGGGGGGGAGGACTAGGATATATATATGGGATAACGAGCTCATTGTAAAAATGAGGACAACTTTCCCCCCCCACCTTAACCTTGCTAAAATGTCACTTAGGTTAAATAAGGTTACACTGGGTGTTCACTAGGCGTGCTATGTTAGCAGAAGTTAATAGTTATTTAGTAAGAAGCGAGGAGGAGTAAAACTGGTCTGTTGCGTTAACACAGTGTGTATTTTATTTAGATTTATGCATGTTAATCTGCTTGTAGACTTAACTTGTTTAGTCTACTTGAAGGAAGGAGGCTCTCGGGCAGAAATGAGCTAACACTGAGGCTAACTAAGGATGGGCAGCCTCAACATTTCACAGCTAACGTGGGTTAGCAGTGCGATAGCAGGCTGTGTGTGCAGTAAGCGGGGGGGGGGATTTTTTAAGGCTCCTAAGTGAATGAGCAATAATGGCAAAACAAGTGCGAGTCGCTGCTAGGCTGACTCTGTGTGCGTTACCTTGACAGAGTCCACGGGGTACATCACCGTGTGCTCCAGTATGCCAGCCACCGCTCCTGCTGTCATGTGGGTCGTCACAGAGACATGAGGTGGCAGGCTCTCGTAGTCACCGACACCGTCAAAGGGCTCATCGTCTTTGCTTTCAATTTGCGACATCTCCAGTGCTACAACAACAGCAACAGGCTCCGAGCTCAACTCCATACGTGGTGAGCTCTCCCTGGTGGTCTCCTGTGCAAGGTAACATTCACAGCGAGAGGTGTCGGCGGCATGGACAACCACAACACCATCACACGACTTTTTAGTGGAGTTCCAGAGCCCGTGTGACGTCGACGGGGAGGGGGGCGTGACTTAGGAGAACACGGACCAATCATTTTGAAAGAGTTTTCAAATGGGCGGGCTTCTGGTTTGTGGCTGTCCAATGAAAAGTGTCCATGCGGATTCCTCTGACACTGATTCCCGAGTGAGGCAGGCAGCCGCTGCAGTCCCATCCGTGTCTGTTTGTCTGTGAATGTTTTTCTTGAATGGGTTTGACAGAACTCTTATCACGAACTTCTGCGTGGTTAGATACGTGAGTTTGGTCTCAACTGTCCTGTTTCATAACGAGTTCAATTAGTTGAAGTCAGAATTCTGGCGAAATGATTGACATTCATGGAAAAGGTCCCCGCAGTGTCTTCACAACATGTTCGACCATCCCAAGAGCAAATCTGCAACAGACTCATCCGGCCATCGTTGTTGTGCAAGAGACAAGATAAAAGTCTTCTTGACCCCCTCAGGCTGCCAATCCGGAACCCATTGAACTAGACTACTTATCATTCTCTACCAATAACTATGTCTTTTGTACGAAGCCGGAGTATACTTGTATAAAATACAAGCTATACACATATTATGTATGTTTGATATTCATATTTATCGCCATAGGTTGGGCCATAGGCTACATATGTGAAATTCCCCTCTTTTGTTTTTTTTTGTCTGTGTGTTATTTGTCTTTTTATTTTGCTTGTAATCTTTGTTCTCTGCAACATAGAACCACTGATACAGAACTGAAGTGAGAATAAGAAGAATTCAATTACAATACCACTTTTAGACTTGAATAAGATAACACTACCAAACTATTTGAATTCAGTTTAATTGAATTGCTTTAAGATCCTTGTTTGAACTCATTACTTCCTTTATCTTAATAATTCATCAGTTGTTTTTTTTTTTGGCTGTGTCATCTGGTCTCTTGTTGCAGGCCAGAAGTTTACATTTCACAATGATATCCTGGACGCCTGCTTGTGTTCAGGATATTATCTGATTAAACTAAACATGCTAAAGATTCAGAGATTCACCATTAATGCACCCACCTTTTCTCACTTCATAGAGAAACATAAAAAAAAGTGTAGTTTCTTCCAATGTTGTGAATATCTTTTAATAAAAAATAAAAGAAATCTGTTGGTTTATCACATGTTGTTCACCTGTGTGAACAACCATTAGCTGAAACACAAGCTGTGGACACAAAGCACACAGTAGTGTCTCTGCAGGCGTGTCAGCCAAGAAGTGTGACTCAGCAGTTTGGTAGCCTGATCTTACGGAGCCACCTGTTGAAGCAGTGCTCCTACAGTTTAACCATGTTTGAAGGGAAATAACGTATTTCACACTGACTCTTTCCACTTGTTTAACGTACAGTGGTTATTATAAATGTTTAAAGACTGGTGTGTTATATCTTTTTGTTCCCTAACTACAGAGCTTTAATATGACCGTTGTTAGGGAAAACGTGTTTACAATGAAATATATTCCCATTAAAGTGTCATGATATAACATTAATAAGGTTGTGTTACTGTGATGGTTGCAATAGTTGATACACAAGGTGGTTTATCCATAAGCATTAACACATTCTCATCTTACACAGAGAAACTTAAATAGCCTAATTTATGAATGGACTCTTGAATGATCTGTATTTCTCTTTGTTACATCTTTGTCATAAATACTCAAGCAGGAGATTTACCTTGCAGTTTCTACCACAGCTGATTTATTTGTTTTGTGAACTTTAAAGTGTTTCTTAGTCTCAATACTCCATTTGATTTACCAGCAGCCTTTTAATAGATACAACTACAGACAGGATGTGCTCTATAAAGACTTATCTAAGGATGCCTCTGCACAGCTATAACAAAACATTGAACTGTATTCATTACCCCCTTGTGATTATTTGGACATTAGTGACTTCATGGGGTTATACAATCGATTGATGCTCTAAAGCGGCACTTAAAATGAAATCCCATCTACAGAAAGGAGATTCACTTAGAGAGTCCACTGAGATCAGCGCTCACACTTTCTATAATAAGGGTTGTGATAAAATGCCATTTTCGACGGACCACTGGTTTAAGCTTCATTCAAGAAATACACACACCATTTTGTCATTTGAAAGGTGTACCATAAAACCTTTATTATATAGAGAACTTTGATGTGATAGCATTCATTTAGAGTTCATCTGTGCAAACATTACACTAGTAGACATTTCCATATAAATTATGGGTTTAGAATGCCCTCACAGCAGTGATATGACGGCTTCTGAAAATGAAGCTCAACATAAATATATGCAATAGTATCCAACCTCAAAGTCAGACAACCTAACACAAACATTTCAGCAGGGTTTATCGAACGATTGATGCTCCCAACAAGAGAGCACATTTGTGTTTTGGAGAGTTTCCCAACAGTGACAAGACATGTATTGCACTGGTAGAGCCATTGAAGGCTACTTGTCTTGTTGAGGCAAAACAATTTGGGTCAAACACACACACACACACACACAAAAAGAAGAAGACCATTCAGGCTGGGAAAAGCTTCCAAACTGCATATAAAAAGTGCTCCTTCCAATAATTCTTAATCGTATTGCATTCGAGTATTCTGCAGAAATAGCAAGTGCTTGTACCGTTTGACAAAAAAACAAACAAACAAAAACAAAGAAAAGATGTGATCATACACTTAAAGAAAAGGCATAAATAAAGGCAAATGTCTCAAAAATTATCCCGTTGTTGCCAAGTGTAGACTACAAACTTATTTTTGCTAGAATTTCAGCTAGCAGACTAATTACCGATCTGTTTGTCTCTTTAAGAAATAAAATAGAAGACACCTGGAGGCATTTGCCATTTGATTTTGAGAATGGAGTATGTGGCAAGAACATGATTTCTAGAAGACATTTTGAAATAAACAAAATAACTTAAGCAAGAACATATATTCATGGCTCAGGTAAGCCTGGTGATTCACAAAAACAAAACTTCCTCAGTTGTCCATTTGTCAGTCCTCTGTTCCAAGAAGAAGTTGTTTTCAGGGCAGTGACCTCAGGGGGAAACAAGGAGACCACTGGCTCCGCAGAGTCACAGACGTTACGCTCTACAAACTTTAGAGGTTGATAGGGAGTGTGGGTGAGCCAATGCCCTCTTCCAACCACGTGACAGCAGAGGGACTGCAGCGCTGAGCCGCGCGCCGATGGATGCGCCGGAGTCGCAGTAAGTACAGCATAATAGACAACAACACAATGAAGAAACAAGCCAGGAACAAGTAGTGGTTGTTGACAAAGGAGAAGCTGTGTCGCAAGTGAGAGTGCAATCCTTTCAGACCTTCCTGCTGGATGTCCCTGGAAGGAGCGGGAACAAAAAAAACCACAACAGTATTTGAAGACTTGCTTTAGACACAGAGATGTAAAGTAATTCTGTTCAAGCCCTGTTCATTATGTGTTAAGATCTAAGGTGGTTTGATCGGCCTGATGATCTAACAGGAGTCCTGAATCAAATCCACCAAACTGCAAGCTTAAGCAGAGTGTAAGCTGATCAGGAGCAATTCTTTTTTTCTTTTTTTAAGATTAACACTACATGTGAGTTTATAATCTGATATGAATAGATTTTTTTCCAAGATTAAACCTGCAGGGGCATGAGATTGAAAGATACTAGTTTTGCTGAATAATTACTTCAATAATTTAAAAGGTTCAGTCTAATTCTTTTTCCTGGTTTATTAAAGCCCTTTACAGAGTTTAGATTCACAGTCCAAACATGTTCAAGACCACAGAAATTCCTCCACATTTAATTACCTCCTGCTGCTTAATGCAATAGAAAGCTGCTCTCTGTAAACCTCAGCGCTATGCTCAATAGCAGAGTTCAAAATAGGAATGTGACGTTACCAAAAGGTAGCTCTGGGGACCAAACATAATCAACCATTGGTAAGAGAATAGAAAATATGTTTTAAATGAGAATAACTGAAGGCCTCATTGGCAGAACATGGCTTAGTGGAGGAAAAAAAAATCTCTCTTACCTCAAAGGCAGAAACCGTGTTCGGTAAAGAATAGCTCCCAGAGTCCACTGGACCTCCTTATCATAGACCAACAGGGCAGTCTTCAGGTTTTTGTAATTGGCTGGGAAAGAGAAGCCTGAGTGCAAAACTTCATACATCCATGCTGATTTAAAACACTGGTACCTGCAGACGAAAAATCATAAAGCTTCATTAAAAAAAAATCATAAAGATTCCTGTCCATACTAGAAGGCATTTTTTTCTTGGGTGTGGCCAACTGGTTGGTTAACTTAAGGAAGCTGTTGATAACCCTGTGTGACTTACTTCAGTCTGTGAAGATCAGCATGTGAGGCGTACAGGCCGGAGGCAAAGCGTTCCCTCAGAGTCCTCCACTGGGTGGCACAGTAACTCTGAAAATGTGAAGCCAGAAACCATATGAAGAGGTGTCATTGATAAGACATAAATGATTATACTTTCAGCTGTGCTCTGGAATGAAAACATTATTGAAACTACAGCAGCAGTATACAAAATTCAAAGGGCATCTAGGGATCAACTGGATGTGAAAATAAGTCTTTGTACAATAGTAACTAGGGCCCGAACGATATGGAATTTTTGTGGGCAGATATCGATATCTATCTGTAGTCGATCTGTAGAGATAGACAGATTCAGATATACACACCCCCATGGAACCCTCAAAAGCAGTTATCAAATACTTGTGGAAAAGATATGAAGTATTATGTAGACAAGATGGCCACACAAATGGAATGTAAGTGTGTCTGTAAATGCATGCCGCTTGGCACACTGGAGATTGATAATGCTTGTTGTAATCCATATAGCACACTCTGCTGATGACAGCTGGAAAGACAACTACTTTCTAATACAACGATACTCAAATGAAATGCTATTTGACTGCTGAATAAATGTAATAATATCGGTGCATATCTGAGATAAAAGTAGCCGATACCGATACTCACTTGATACGTTAATATCATAGGCTGGGTGATTAATCGGTCGAGCTCTGATAATACCGCACCTAATCCTATCACTTTACTTAAGTTTG